GCAGCACGCTGCTGGCTCGTGTTCAACTTTGTGTCTCTCAGTGCCTCAATGGCTTTTTCTGCCAAGCTGCTTTCTGACATGGCAACTGCCTGGATGTACATTTGCATGGGGTTGTTCTCCCCCACAGACAGGACTCTGCACTACTTGTTCCACTCATTAAACCTCAGGTTCCTGTCAGCCCAGCGTAAAGGCCTTGAGTACGCCATAGGTTCCTGGCCTCCAACTGGATCATACTCACCAACTTTCGAGCCCTTTCAGCTAGTTTTCTGTACATCTCACTTTCTGCTCATACAGCCCATACATCAGCAGCTTATCTATGTGTTCTTCCCACATCTACCAGGCCAGTCATTACATTATAGAAGATTATCAAGTGGATCAAGCAGAACTTCCTCTTGGTCAAATTCTGTTGGCTATTCCTGATGATTTTCTTGTTAGTACATTTAAAAACTGTAGCGCTCCTATTACTATAAAGTTAAGTTTTAATACTGAAAGTTCAGCTAAAATTGCTGAGGGATGCCAGATTACAAATCTGGACCCAGCATTGCTCTGTGAAATGCATAGTGAAACAGCATGTTTATGCAAATGTTGCAGTAATTGAAAGATCCACTGAACTTAAAAACATCCAGAATTATTACATCTGCCATCTTCAAACGGATCCTCTAAATGCTTTAGAAGATACTTGCTGATTCTTTTAGCAATATATGGGAATTACATGGACTGGGCCTGAATTATATAAACTTTAAGCTCTTGTTTGTGAAATGAGGCACAAGGCACTACTGGGTTTGTTTAGGTCTGGGCAAGCTATAGAACCGTAGTACCTGACATGGTACTAGGAATCAGAGAATCAGACACAGGTGGCATTAAAAGGCAGTGCTGTATCATAGCAGTGACCTTCGACAGCATTTCTGAGACCTAGGACAAATGTCATAGGATCACTGGGAACTAGTTAAATGCGTAGCAAGATTTCAGGCTCTGAGCAGCTTTGTTGTTGCATGGTTTCCATCTGCATTTATACTTGAGTTGGGCTGAGGGAGGGAAAAAAAAAAAAAAAAAAAAAAGCTCAGGCTTTTCATTATGGTCTTTGTCACAAAAAATTTGAAAATGTAGGTTCTCAGTGAGTCTATCTTCCAAGAGCTGAAAATCATGTATTCCTGTCACATGCCTTTGTCCTGCAGACATTTCAGGGTATTTCTCGCTTGCTTGCTGTCTTCCTTTCTTTCTTTCTTTCTAGCTTGGCTTCTTGCTTGCTTTCTCTTTTGCTGTCTTGCTTTCTTTTTTTTCACTTGCTTTCTTTCCTGCTTGCTTGCTTGCTTTTGCTCTTTCTCTCATTCTTTTCCTTCCCTCGTTCCTTTCTCCTTTCTTTCCTTCTATTTCTTGGGAAACTTCTTAATGTTTGGAATGTCTGCAGTTTTATATATGTCGTGTAGCACATATGTGACTTCATCATCCTCTTTATTTAATAGGAGAGGAAGGGAAATAGTTGTTTTGCACTAACTTCATTTTGTGACAATCTAGGACAAGGAAATGCATAAATCAATACTGCGATAATATTTTGTTTCACAGAATCACAGAATGGCCAGGGTTGGATGGGACCTCAAGGTTCATGAATCTCCAACCCCCCGCCACATACAGGGCCACCAACCTCCCCATTTAATACTAGACCAGGCTGCCCAGGGCCCCATCCAACCTGGCCTTGAACACCTCTAGCGACAGGTCATGTTCCCTTATATATTCCTTAAGTTCATTACATCTGCAGCATTTACTTTTGAAACTATCAATATGCTCGATTTTAAAACTTCAGCAGAACTATGTAGAAACCTACTCCCCAGGGATCATGGCATTCTACCTGGAAAATAAAGAGCACTTTATTTTTTTTTTTTCTTTTTCTTTTTGGTCTGCCTACTAGCTGAGGATATCCAAATACTGTGAAAGTTACTAATTGCTTTGAACGCCACATCAATAATGTATGGATATATGCTATACTGTAATATAGATCAGCTTGAGGAGAATTGCATCACATCAAGAAAAACCAGCACACTTTGATATCACACTTCTGGACAAAGTAGAGCAAGGAAGTGTAGAGCACTATCGAAAGATTACTAAATGGAAACAGCAGCCTTTGTCATCTGATGCTTGGTGATTGCTGCATTAGACCTTAACTGTGTGGGTTAAACAACTTGCCAGTACTGAGTGATTCCAATGCTATGTGTTTCCGTGGTTGTCAGTTAAATTGTTGCCTGCAATAATCTGATGTGTTGTTAGTAAAATGCTTTAAATGCTACCCTAAAGGGAGGGCAATTTAAACAAGGCTTTTCTTCTTCTATGTTTCATCTGCCAAGCCCAGTAATTTTTATAAGGTGCAGGAGAGTGGCCAAGAAAACTAAAAAATGTATATATACATTAATATGTATGTGTGTGTAAGTATGTACATCTAAATTATGGGGGGAAGAATGCTTAAAAAGCATATTCATGAAATAAGGCAAGCAAAGTGAATGTGGTGAAAAGTTTGCAGTTTTACTGGATGCTGAAGATACTAGTTGGTATTCGAACAAGACAAAATTGTAATGTCATCACTGCCTTGGAAAAAGGTGCTGACAGCCTACATAAGCAAACATTTATCTCTCCCATCAGATCTTGAGCCAGTGTGTTTGTCAGGCAGTGCTGTAGGAGTTCGGCTGGGACTCCAGGAAGATCTGGTGTGCCTGCTTGTGAAACATAACCCCCAGCACGCAGAAAGAATATGTCTTAAATAACTGTTTCATAAACTGCACATCTCCTTCTGAATCCAACACCACATCAGATAGGTCTGTTGTCAGAAGGAAGCATCTGAGGAAGGGTCTCCACCAGGCTCCAGCTGCTGCAGCCTTACTTTAGGTTCACAGGATTTTGATCTTTTCTGATACGTAGAGTTTGGTAGCTCCTTACTCTAATAACAGCAGGCCTCAAAAATAAATGTGAAGTGAGAACATGCCTACAGTTCTGATCCTGAGCCAGTTGGAGTCTATGGCAAAACTCCTGCTGACTTTCTTTTGCGTAGGTCCAAAGCTTTAATGCTATTCTTTTTAGCCATGTCATGTCAAGATCCTGAGGGCACTGATACACCCTTGTGGCCCAGAAAGGCTTACCCTATACCGTGGGTGTCCAACTTTTTGGCTTTCCTGGGCCTCGTTCATTGAACAGGCCACATATAAAATATACAATAAACTTAATCTGTATAAGTAAAAAAACTTATTTATTTGTTTGTTTGTTTGTTTGTTTATTATTAAAACATAAAAATCAGGGAGCAACAAAAACATAAAACTAGGGGGATGTTTGACTTTGTTTTTGTGAAACTAATGCATTAGGCTGATTCAATGGAAGTTGGTGCCATTCCTGGTGAGTTCTCAAGGAGTTCATCAGAGATTTTTGATGAAATATTACTGTTCCTGTACTTCATCCTTGGCAGTAACTGCTCACAAATGTACATACTGTGAAAAAGTGATGACATGGATAAGGCGTGACTGTGAAGCAAGGGATATTCTTCTCTGTTAAAAGAGGTCTTATGAAAGTCTGTTTAAGAGACATGACCAAAAGTTTCTTTGAGTTGAAAATCTGATTCCAACTCTATAGACTCCATGAAAAAATTTTCAAGTAATCTTGACTGAGAATGGAGTTGCAAATATTAAAAAAATATGATTTTTAAAGTTCCTTTCTCAAAATAGAAAGCAAGGCTGCATATTTTTCACTGTTTGTAAGACTGTGTTTAGCCAGTATCAAAATACATGAGATTATTTGCTATAACTTCACCTAATCATGATAAGAATTTCATTTCAGATGTTGTTGTTGCGTGAAACATAGCACACATAAGGTGATTTTCACGTTGAAGACTCACATTAACTCATTTAAATGAGTGGAAAGTCCACCAAAAATGATAAATCTGTGAGCCATTCTTAATCTTCACATTCTGGCACAAATTTTCCTTTTGATGCAGCCATACTTATAATAAACTCCTCAAATTAGAGGTGATTCAGTCCCCTTGACTTTATGAAATTCACAGCTTTGATGACATTATCCATTTTTAAAGCTTTTGCACATAATTTTTCTTGATTTCTAATGCAGTGATATTTCATAAAATGTGGGTTACCACTGGTAGTTGCATCATTTTCTATTAATTTTACAAGTCCCTCCTTTTTCCCAACCATCACTGTGGCATCATCAGTGCCTACAACAGATAGGTTGACAAAGGATATAGAAAATTGTTTTTTTCTTTTTGCTGCTTCATACAAATCAAGAGATTTAGTTGTGTATTTCACTGTCATCAAAGAATGCATTTCTTTGGTGACATTATATTCATTATCAATACTGCTGTTGAAAAAATGGCAAGTCGAGCCGTGTCTGCAGCATCAATACTTTCAACTATCACCACAGCATAAAATTTGAAATAAGCAACTTTCCAACATTTTTTTTTTCAGTTGATTTCCCTTTTTTCTTCATTTCATCTGACTATAGTTCAGTGAGACAAACTGTTTTCAGAAAAATCAATATTATTTTTTTTATCAGGGCATATTATATCTGCCATGTTTTCCATACATTGCTTAACAAACTCACTATTATGAAATAGTTTTGATTTTTTTTTGCAGTCAGATTTGCTATCACGTAACTAGTGTTTTTAACAGAGTCCATTTGAGTTTTCAACAGAGTCCAACTTGAGTTTTTTCTTGCTTATGCAGACTTTGTCTCTGAATAAAGAATAAAATTTAAGCTAATTTCAGAACGCTGCCATTAGCAGCATTTTAGTGCTATTTCTGAACCTTCTGCAAGGCATTTTGAACAAACTTTTTATTTTATTCTTACATTGCAAGCTTTCTTGAAAACTATTTACTGATCCTGTTGGTAACTTTCTTTCGGCTATATCGAAAATGAAGGGGAGCTTTTCTCTTGCAGGAACAAAGCAGGTTATATAACTCATAAAAGCCCATTCGATTCCCGTTAATCTCAGCAACCTCTCTCTGTCCCGACAGGCGTGGTGCGCCAAGTGAGACCCATTGTTGGACCCTTCCATGCCATCCTGAAACTGGAGATGAACTATGTCATGGGTGGAGTGGTATCTCATCGTAACATTGTCAACGTTCACATCTTCGTCTCCGAGTACTGGTTCTGAGAGAGCTTTTAAGGTCCCAGACAAGCAAGCTGCTCCAGCCTAAGTCATTACAACAAACTACTATGTCATATACTTGTTTGTAAAACCCAGTAGAGGTTTTTGCTGTTGTTGTTTTATTTTTAAATATTTGTTTCTTGGTTTAAGCAAAATAACAAGCTGTTATGGTGATTAGACATAGAGTGGGGCAAATTAAGTGAGCTGATTTAGTTGTGTGTATAAATAAGTAGTGTGTGAAAGTGCTCAGCTGCCTAGTGAAATTTAAGACTTTTCTAAATGTTAATGCAGACTTAACTATTGCTCCTTGGCCTGATAACCAGAGTGACCGAGGATGTGGAACAAACTACGTATCAGAGTTCACTGGGATGAATATATGGTATCTTTGGATGGAAGAAGTTCGGTAAGGATTAGTTATTTCAGCTCCACATAAATTACTTTGAAGGAGTTAGACTGTCAGAAAGTGTAAAAATACTCACTTTTGGGCTCCAGTAGAGTAATTCTGAATGGACACCCCAAATTACTAATCATTTCTGAAATGTTTAACCTACATATTCGGGTATGATTACAAGAGAAAGTACAAAAAGAATTAGAAATAGTAGGAGACTAACAAGCTATTGCACATATTAAAAAATTACTTTTTTTGTTACTTGTTATTTGATTGTAAAGTTATGTTTGATTCTAATTAAACAAATACCTCTCAGTGAAATTATTCATTACGAGGGTAATGAATATTGCTTCAATTCTAGTCTCATCTGTGCTCAGCAATACATGGAAACTCAAACCTGTAACTCCTGTCTATCTTGACACCTTTTTAAAATTGGTATTCAGATCAGCATGTTAAACTATACACCTCCTATGCACCAAATCAAGGCATATGTACTAATACAAGGAAACGTTCATAAATAAATGGATTTTTAATGTAATTTTTGGGATCAAAGTAATGTATCGTTTTTATTACAGAACAGAATATAACTAGCTCCATGTTTCATTTGTCACATTTGTTAAGATACGAAAAAATAAAGTCAAATGGGAAATACTCAGAAGTGTGCTATGGCTTCCATTCACCAGAATAACAATATAATATACAAAAATACATACCCAGTAAGGAAATTAATTATATGTGTATATTATGCATTTGCCTCTTTATACAAAAGCCCCTCGAGCTAAAGGGAATCATTCTATTGAGCTGAATGATCTTTTAAGTTAAACTAGAAGAGTCCACTCTGATCTACTGCAAATAAATGACCACAGCAACTTTACTGTGAACATACAGAAGCTTTCGTGCAGTTCTCCGTGGTCGGGAAAGTTCTCTGCCTGCAGCTGTCTCATTCTATAAATGCAGATTCTATGATAACACATTATCATAAATATGTGTCGGGTAAAGGTCACCCTCTCGGCAGTGTTTGGTTCTCTCCCTGCTTTTATAGAGAATCTCAGCCCCATACCAAACCTGCTTTTTAGAATGACTTCAGCTGAATATATTGTAAGTATTTTCAGTGGCTGCCTCTACAGTCCAACTTCACTAAATCGTTATTATATTTGAGTAGCAAAATGCTGTGAAACAGATATATTTGTAGCAGATGTATTTGCAGCGTTCATCATTTAGCTACCTTAAGGGGATTTTGGAAACCTCCAAATTGTGAGAGTTGATTTCAGTGATTACCAGCATAGGTAATTCTGATTTCGATTGGAATTAAAAATGTTTTATTATCTTCTGCTCCAAGAAAAAGAGGATGGAAGACTCCAGCTATGTTGTCAAGTTTTTTCTTGCCAGAGTAAGAAACTAAGTAGCCTTTAGTACCAAAAACACAAAAAGTCTTTCCATCTAATTTTCTAAACTGTAATTTTATTTCCTTTATTTCCTCTGTACATGGTATTTACTTGCAGTGGAAAGAAATTTGGGACAGCAGAAATCTAATTTTAGGATCAATCTGATGAACAATCAAATTTACACACTTATTTTTGTAAAGGAGAAACCACACAGCTACATGCACCTCTCCCTTTCTTCTCTCTGCATTTTTGAGTAGAAAAAGGATTGATGCTACTTCTTGGAAAACTGTTTTCCTACAGTGTCCCAAATAACATTTATAGATTTGCAGCCAGCTTTTCAAATAGTCTTGCTGTCATATGAGAATATTAATCCAGTGGACAATTTTGTTCTGTTTATAATCAAAAGTGGAGTGAGTGCTTAGTGCTGTGGTCACTTTGACATGTCCTAACTTTTAGTGGACCAGCATGGAATATCTGGAAAATTCCATAGGATAGATTAAGCATTTGTGTCTTCTAAACTTGTTGCAAAAAACTATAATTTGTTATAAATGGGACAAAATAAACCCATTTCTATTTTTATTGGAAAATCATTAGAACTGTTCAAGTGGAAGAACATGCTTAGAAGTAGTCGCTGAGATCCCCTCACTTCAAGGGCTTTTCTTTTGCTTGGCTCCATTTGGATTGATTAGATACATTTTAATCCTGGGGACACTGAGAACCACACGTAAATGAGCATTTAGCAGAAAAGAAAAGAGTAAGTACACACTTCCAACTGTTTATTGGTCTGCTTTTTAAGACTCACACACAGAATGATGTCACGTGCCCCAGAAAAATAAGCGTACACCACTAAAAGAATGAGTAATAACAACAAACAAGTACAGATATTTCTGAGTTATTTCTAGGGGGATTAGGTTTGGCTGAAAAATTATGCAGTGTACAGAGCTGTCCCTGAGCAAGCAGGGCCGTAGCCTTAGTCTTATTCAAATAAATAAAATGATGAATAACAGAACAGGAATATTTCAGATCATTTTGCTGATAAGCCGGTCTACTTTTTTCTTCATCAGTTAAAAAAGCACTTCTTGATGCATCTGTAATTTATTAGCAGGCAGGGAAGACAAAATAACATAGTATATGTAAACGTAGCACAGCTACTACTTTTACAAAGGGCTTTGAAGCCAAGGACAATAGAAATAAAGAACAAACGTTTCATAATATTGCCCAGATGAGTATGTTCCATGTATGATAGCTGTTGCAGTGATGACAAAAGATGTTTTGTGATTTGAGAGAAATGCTGTGTGTCATTCCAGGTTAACTTTCTTAACTGCAATGTGTGGCAACACTTGGAAGCCAATGGTGACTGCCTGTAATGATGCAGCATGGCAAATAGCTTGTCATCACTGTGAATATGTATGTTATTTAGAGATTGTGCACCATTAGTGTGTTTCTGTCTCAACCACAAAATCACACTATGCACATGAAAAATATTATAGCATCCATTTTGTCTATCCTGTTCAGGACTGCTTCAGTGACCGAACAAATGCAATCAATCAGTGCTGCAAACATGACCCACGTGAAATCCCCTGTGAGAGAGCTTACCTTGTGCGAGGCAGGGCGGAGTGAAAAACTTGGTGCAAGCTGACTTCTGAGCAGGATGATATCTGCTCAGTTCATGTCTAGTTCTGAAGAAAGACAGGCCACCAAGCCAAGTGCGCTGCTCAGCTTGGTGTCATCAGCAAACCTGCTGAGGGTACACTCAATCCCAATGTCCACGTCATTGATAAAGATGTTGAAGAGTACCAGCTCCAAGACTGACCCTAAGGGACACCACTTGTGACTGGCCTCCACCTGGACATAGAGCCATTGACAACAGCCCTCTGCCTACAGCCATCTAACCTATTCTTTATCCACCTCTCAGTCCAGCCTTTCAATCAATCTCTCTCCAATTCAGAGATAAGGATATGGTGCAGAGCCATGTCAAAGGCCTTGCACAAGTCCAGATAGATGACATCAGGTGCTCTTTCTTTGTCCACCAATGCCAATGCTCCATCATAGAAGTCCACTACCTTGATTCACTGTGAACCCCCAAAACTAAATTCTTCATCTATCCTTAGCCTTGTTTGCTCGCAATGTACCATTCATTATCATTATCAAAACTTTCCCATTATTCCTGCTATTCTTACAAACAGTATCCCAAGAATTTTTTAGGAAAAAAAAAAAAAAAAAAGTTAACTGAAGAAGATATAGGAAAAAAAAAACAAACACAATCACAATGAATTTTCACAATAATTTTCTATATTATTAACTCTTATTTCTGTGCTGGTTCTACCAGCTAATTTATGTCAACCAGTGTTGAACTCATTGAGATCAGCCCAGTGCAGAAGGACCTCGGGGTCCTGATGGACGAGAAGTTGCACGAGTCAGCAGTGTGTGCTTACAGCACAGAAGGCCAAAAGTATGCTGGGTTGCATCAAAAGAGAAGTGGCCAGAAGGAAGAGAGAGATGATTGTCTCCCTCTACTCTGCCCTTGTCAGGCCCCATTGGAGTACTGTGTCCAGGCCTGGAGCCCCCAGTACAGGAAGGATGCAGAGTTGTCAGAGAGTGGTCCAGAGGAGGGCCATGAGGATGATCCATGAACTGGAGCACCTCTCTTTTTGAAGAAAGGTTGAAGGAGTTGTGTTTGCTCAGACTGGAGAAGAGAATGGTTTGAAAAGATCTCATTGCAGCCTTCAAGTGCTTGAAGGAAGCTTACAGGCAGGAGCGGGACTGTCTTTTTATATGATCTGATACAGATAGGACAAGAAGAAATGGCTGGAAATTAAAAGAGGGGAGATTTAGGTTAGATGTCAAGAAGAAATTTTTCATGCAGAGTGGTGAGGCACTGGAACACAGAGTGGTGAGGTTGCCCAGAGAAGTTGTGGATGCTGCATTCGTGGAAGCGTTCGAGGCCAGAATGGATGGATGGATCCTGGGCAGCCTGATTTAGCACTGGCAATCCTGCCATAGTAGTGGGGATGGAACTAGATGATATTTAAGATCCCCTCTAACATAAGCCATTATATGACTCCATAATATGATTCTAAGTGAATTTGAAACAAGGTTACTGGAATTCAGGAGAATCAAAACGTATAATATTTTATTAAAAAAAGAAATAAAAATCCGCTTATAGAAGCATTCTGCAATTTCTTATCTGCAGGCATACCTACTGTCTTGCTACTATGTGTACCCCTTTGAAAGGTGTTTTCAATAGAAAGGTTCAAGTTTGGGTCCATTGGCTGCAGATCTGTTTTTGTTTTTCAGTAGGTTTAAGACGCAGTCAGAGCTAATTAAACATACTCCTCTTGATTTGCGGAATAGGCCATTCTGTCTGAAAGGGAAAAAAGAAAATCGCTCTTTCCGTCCGCCGGGATTTCTGCTGGATCTTTAAAAGATGTCAGCTGAGGACTCCTCCAGACGCTCGTTCCAAGGGCTGCAGTCAGTCGCCCTCGCAAACAGCGCTTGATTGTTCTGTCTTGGCTGAGCCTGAAGTGAGCACAGTTTTGATAATAATGCCAGAGCCACTTCTGGTTGGCCGGCGCGCGCTTAGCCAGTGAACAAATGCTGCTTTTTCCAGAAGGGCCCAGAGCTTGATTTAATGCCTCACGCCCCGGTTCTGCCTGAGGTTTCTGACACACACGCAGGCCTACCACACCCTCGCTGCCCTCTGCACCTCTGCCCCTGCCCGCCATGGCCAGGCTGCTGGGCCTCACCGCGTGCCTGTGGAGGCTCTTTCCTCAAATTACCCGTGCGGCCGGGCGCTGAGCGCTCCTCTGCTCCGCGACTGCACGGAATTCCACAGCCGTTCCCAGGATCGTTTCTGAGTGTCTTTGTTCCCTGCTGCCTGCGGTGAGCGCAGGAGGTGTGAGGCTGTGTACAAATTGCTGCTCCCAGACAAGAGAGACATAAAGTACACCCACCAAGTCTCCAAAATCATTGATCTGATGAAAGATCTTTCATTCCTGCTGGGGCTAATAATGCACTATCTGTTCTGTAATAAGCCCCTTTTTTGCTTTCACCTTATCCTATTTCATCTTCTCCAACCCTTTCAATTTAGTGTACTCTCTTCTCCCTTCTCTTATTCTTACTCCCCACTCTACTTTTTCTTCTATCACTGTCTGAGTGTTTACTTGAAACTAAGCAATTGGAGTTAAATACGTCCACCAGACCCACGGGAGAGACCTTGAAGAGCTGCAGAAAGAAAACCCACCCTGGGATCCTGGTAGATAGCCAGAGG